TAATATATTTAATTAATATTGCCATAATTAGAAAAATAACAGTGTGCTGATGGAAGTGACAGGCTTCAAAACATAGTTTATTTTAGTGTACCAAACTACCAACAACCAAAGTATTAACTTAAATTATTAACAAATTGTATAAGTTATAACATTTATAACCTTATACTTGGCCTTTTTTTTGTGTCGTAGCATTTAAATGTTTTTATATAACTATTAAATAATTAATTAAAAAATAGTTATTGTTATAATTTTAGTCAAGTTAATAATATTGTGATTAGTTATACACTAAAATGATTTATAATATATAGATCACTGGTTCTCAACCGGTGTTTCTAACTAGTTGTAAGTGTGCCTCGACCTTATCATATTTAAGAAACATATAAATTTCCCTGTTCTTAATTTTCGTTTTAGATAATGATTATTATATTTTATTACAATTATCGTTTAGCGGCCAAGGTATAATATTATGAACATTAGAAATCAATATCTTCTAAAAGTCGTTTTTTTAGTATAACATTTCAAAATTAAAATTATAATTTTTATATAGGTAGGTACTATATTATTATAATGTTTCGTCAAAATGTATTGTTGTAAAAAATGTGCCTTAAACATAAAAAAAGGTGGAGAACCACTGATGTAGATACTGTTTAGATTACATTTACCTGTATGATAATAACAGATGTACAAAGTACAAACAAATGTTGGCAGGACTAATCGATAGTATGTAATTTGATATATTAGGTAGCGCCCGATATGCATCGGGTAGGCAACTCAATTGTCAGATTAACGAAATATTGCTCTTTTTACACACTTTTCTTAAGTTCGCTTTCACGTCTGTTTGTCTGTTTGTCTGTAATCAAATCTTGCGCGCTCGATTTGAGGCCCTTTTTGACGATGAAAAATTCTGAAAATTGGTAAAGACCTTGGTTTTGGATGACAATACAATAATCCGTTGTCTTTTTGGGACCCGGATCTCCAGATCGGCGACGACGGGTGTGCAAAGTCATCTCCGAGGAAGTACAGGTACGAAGGGTTTCTCTGGGTCAAGGAGGGTTAACCTAACTATTACTCACCGTACTTCAGTAAATTAGCCGTACAGTATATAACAGAATAATGTTGTTCAAATAAAATAATAAAAAAATTTACTTTAACTAAAAAGTAGAAAATAAAAAAAATTAAAATTTTATTTTTAAAAACACACTTTTCTAAAAAAAAACATTTAAAAAAAATATATTTAAAAAAATATATTAAAAAATAATGAAAAATTTACTGATAAAAAATTTAAAAGTGTGTGGTGCATCATACAAAACATTTAAAGCCCAGCTAAGTCTCACATACACTTCTTTGTTCAATCCTGTTTAAAAGATAGTGACTGGGAGTATATGTCAAGTGTAAGAGCACCATACACTTTTAGAATTTTCATCAGTAAATTTTTCATTATTTTTTTAAATATATTTTTTTTAAATATGTTTTTTTTTACAAAAGTGTTTAAAAAAAAAATTAAAATTTTTTATTTTTTGCACCTAATGTGCACTCGGTATGCAATTCAATTTATTGGACACGATGACAACAAAATCAACAACGATAATTAGTAGAGACAATTTAATTTGCTGTAGTCGGTTCGGTTTGGAGGAATGACGGGATGCAATAAAATTATAATAATATACAGACCTTAAAACTACCTTAAAATCTTATTAAAATGAAAAACGTCAGCAGTGATTCAATCCATTGAGCAGTATAACTGGATGACCTTTGTGGATGTGCACTCATAACCCAAGGGGCCTGGCAGACTTACTCATAGTATGATTGATCGGGGTCACTGGCGTAGGGTCGTTTGACTTACCGTAAATACAAAGCTCAGCAAACCGAATTGACGAAGATTTCTGTTTAAATAAACACACAAAATGTGAATCCAAAGTTGACTATTGTAAATTGTAGTTTTTTATTTATATCTTAATGTAATAAGTACAATATTTTCTAATTTTATTGTGTTTCTCAAAATATGTTTTGTAAAAAAATGTATTATTTATACTTTTTATTAAATCGTAGAATACCTATGCATTTTGAAATTACTGGTTGAATTAATTATATAGGTAATACATAATACATTTTTTAATAATTTAAACTTCTCCCCCCAAGTTAAGACATTGATAATATGTAATTGAAATATTTTTAAATATTTGTTCTAGAGGCGTCTTTAAAAATGGAATATATATGTGCAGAGACTGCGGCATTGTTTTTCACAACTCTAAGGCTTGGGTCGATCACGAGGCAGATCATTTAGCCAATTGTACACTGTAAACTATTGCAAACTTACAGATTTGAATTATTATAATTATAGTTTATAGCATTTATATCATTATAAAATATATAATTTCCATTATTATCTTAACTGTATACGATGTATGAACAAAAAACCATCTTTATTGGTATAGTCGTAATCTTACCCTGAGTCTGTGTCTATTGTATACAACTATATAAAGCATTTATATTTATTTTATATTATCTAATTATTTATCCGTTTATTGTATTATAAACACTGTAGCCTATAGGTTAATATTCTAAATATTTATCATTTTTAATGTCATAATAGACATGTCATATATTATAATATTATACTTTTATGTAATATTCATGTTCAAGTCGTTGAAGCCGATTTTTTTTTCATGATCAATAAAAAAAAATTGTACTATTGGTAAATGACAAATAATAAACATATTAATCATACTTTATAGAATTATTTAATATTAGTCTAAACTGTTTACTCATTCATTGTATGTACTTAGGTATAACCTACATGCACTTGCATTTTCCCGTTGTCATAATGGAATTACCTCATAAGCAGATAAATCATAAAATATCTATGTTACATGTTATACACCTATCTATCTTTGGATATTAATAGGTGCCTCTAAACCATTGGATTCTTCATGCATTTAGACCTATATAAACTGGTAAAAAATAAACATATTCTAGTAGTTCTATTTCAATTTTACAACTAATTTGAATTCGTTGTCTTCTTTTCTGTATTTTGTAGGAAAACTTTTAAATATTTTTTGTGTCATTGGCCCATTAAATAACATGTTATTAATTTTTAGAAATTAAGTAAATTCATTTGGAGCCGTAGTACACTACCTACATACACTTTTCAAAATATCGAAAATCTATTCCCTATACACAACATGGAATTATAACGAATTCAAATAAATTCAAATATTGGACTAGATACTAGAGGTATGATATTTTTTGGCCAGCTCATTGGCGTTATTCATTGGCAAGCACTCGCATAAGTACAAACAATTTTTACGTGTGATATAGTACGCAGTCAACTCGTCCAGGCGCGAATACAAGGGGGGGGCTATGGTGACTGAACCGGCCCACCCCACACCACGTTAGGCCTTAGAAATTTAAAAATATTTCACTCTTGCCTACTAAATTATATTTAATATGATATATATATATATATATATAGAAAATATAGTTGGTGCATTCGGGAGGTTAAAATTTAAAATTTCCAGTTGTAGTTTCCAAAAGCGCTTGGAAAAACAAAAAAAAAATTAAGGAAAAACAGGAATTTTTATGCAAAATCCAACTATCATTAAATTATATGTTGTTGGCGATTTGTTGCAATTGCAGGATGAAGAAAATAAAATCGTTATTATTATTGGATATAATTGTAGACCTGTATTTTATACTTGGTAAATACAACCCAAATAACCATGTTAAAAATCTGCTCAGTAATCTGCTCAAACGGAGTTTAAAATTATATAAATCTAAGGTAATTTATTTTGTAACGAACAACGTCGTTTAGGGTCAAGTGGTCAGCTAGTATATAATATACATATATACATATACGCACTATAGTACGGGATAAGAACAAGTTTTCGTGACTCGTAAATAAATATTACGATTGTTCATAGGCGTAAATAGTGTTTGGGATTTGGGGGGGGGGGGGGGCTAAAGCCTTATTACTTTGATAATATTGAATAAGCTTAAAACAAAATGAAGGAAATGTTTGAGTGGACCATGGGCATTTTTGGGGGCTTATCTATAGTCCAGGGGCTAAGTTCTCCTTATTTGTGCCCATGCGATTGTTATATTTATATATATTATGCATACATTAATCTTAAAGTAGTGAGAGGGTGGGGCGTGAACTCATATAATTGTTTGAAAATGGCTGAGAACTTTTGCACTTTACAATCACAAGTATATATTTATGACATACATATTGAAATGTATGAAGCGTCGGCCGGTGAGTGGTAGCTATAATATTATAATGTATACCTATATACAATATAATATAATCCCTATGTTGTGAATATATTATTGAGTCGGCCATTTTCTAAGGAGTAAGAATTAGGCAATTCATGTGGCAGGTACTTCTAGGTCACGTCACTGGTGCGAGCATAAATTAACATTATTAGTGTGTGTGTTCTATCCGGCGCAGAGTAACTCTATTCTCAATGCACAGCGGCCCTTAACCGCCAGGGGAGAACATATTTGTGTATTGGGGTGGTCATAACCCCCTCCCCCAAGAATTTGTTTTATTAGTTTTTCCGTCAGCCATTTATGAAAAACTGAAATAATGGCCGTAACGTACATAATGGCCAAATTATTTGAAAAAATTGTGATAGACATGTTGACAAAAATTAATTTAACCTACTGTATTATGCCTACTAATGTCTAAAAGTAACATAAATTACCTTAAAGGCAATAATATAATAAAATATACTTACTATTACATACTTTCTTCGCACATAATCGTTTTTCATACACATTGATTGTTTATAGTTTAATTAAAATGTAATATATTCAAATATTCAATACACTATGTTGTAGCGTCCTTGTAGGGTCCCGAAACCAGCACCCGACAAGTTCGATTAATGGGCACGTTAAGATTAGTAAATGAGATAAATTTCACGAAAGTTCCAATACATAAGTTTTTGTTTTAAAAATATATATTTTCTCGGTAGATATTATTTGTTTTTTTGTTCATTACTTCAAATCCACTTAGATTCAAATGTGTTATTCTTTAGTTGGTTGTGTTGGTCCGTTTTATTATTACAACTCTTTATAATCGTTTCGTACGTGGCAAACGCTATCCCATTAACGGGAAAAGCTCTTATGCAAAGTAACCGAAGTCCTCGTAAAAAACTTTTCGCACCGCCCTTATTGTACGTCTTCTTTGCACAGTCCCAGGCACCCTTGTATAACGGCTGCGTGAGGCTGTCCGTGATCATTTTAGATTTGATCACGTCAAACGGCAACACCAAGACCCAACTTAGTACGCCTAAATTAAAACCATACAAAATAGATTATGATAATAAATTATATTTCTCTTATATCGACGCCCTCGTGCCTTATGTGATCAAGGTTTTTTTTCTAGTTTTGAGTAATGTAATTTTTAAAGTTGAGCACTTATTTAAAAATCGATAATTTAACCAATGTTTATGAACTTGATACCAATAAAACCACAATAGTATACTTAACACTACAGAATACTAGTTTTACTCAATAATTATTACCATGATTACTAAATTATAAGTTACTAACTTAATTTTATGTTAAAAAGTGACCAAGTTAAAACGGGTTTTACTTGGTCATTTAAAAAGTGACCAAGTCACAAGTATAATACACTTGATCATTAGTTTTTGGTCAAAAACGTTACCTACTGCAAACAAATTTGCAACAAATGACCAAGTGACATAGTCAATTTTTACACTTAAGAATTATATTGAGATGTTGGTTGATCAAAATTAAGTATTCAGTGGTTTATTCCTAAACTAATAAAGATATCACTTGGTCACTTTTTTCGTATATTAATTGGGACAAAATAAGGCATTTAAACATGTTATTTCACTTGGTCACTTTTTCCACATGGTCACTTTAGGCACGAGGGCGATGATATATGAGAATATTATGAGATTCAATAAATTAAATATTTTTGTTACGCGCTACCTACTTAATATGCTTTATTCAATTTTTAGTTGCTATGTACCTGCTATACCTCCAGACACAATTTGCACATGCATTGGCATTGACTCCTTTTTGATTTCAGAATACGATAATTTCGTTAACATGCTACATAAATGTTCATATGAGAGCATATAAATTCCCATACTAGGAACATCTCTAAAAAAAAATATAAGATATTATATTAAAAAAAAATATTTTCTTTTGAACTCTTTTCTTGTTATTTATTATAATAAACCTGATAAACAATAATGTTCCTCCGCGATACAGTGAACGTATACCGTTGACCTTGTAAAGTTCTCCAATCATTTTAAATGCACTGGTCGTTTTTAATGGATCAGTGGTTTCCACATTGTCTTGCTTTTTTACATCTAAAACCGGGTAATTTATGAGTATCATGAAAGTGAATCGTATTAGAATTTTTACTCCTTGCTTGTAACAATGTTTTGATAACTTCAATTGGTGTGTTTATAAACGCATAAGGAATACCGGCAATAGAACCTGATAAAAATACATCCAAATGCCAATAATTGTGTAAATTTTCAGCATCGCTGCAAAACCTGACATCAACATTCTTATTTGTTTGATTGTCGTTGCGTTGTATTTGGATTAACCTCATCACGTTACCATAAGTTCCAAAAAATACCGAATTCGCAACACCCACGCTTAAGATCGGAAACATCATTCCTCTAAAATATCCTTTGAGCTGTTTAATACAGAAGATATAAAGGAATATATTTTTTTGTATTTATTTAAGTGTTAAATTGATTTAAAATTAAAATTAGTTGTACCAATGTACCATTAATATTATAATTAACTTTTTTTACTTGCCTTATCTTGATGGTAAATATCTTTAACGGTTGTTTTTACTGTACTATTATTCACTTGTTGTATTACTTTTACTGTGTCTATTGGATGGCCAATTAATGTAGAAACAATACCTGGAATAAGAATGTATAATGGATATTATCATGCATTCGTAATACCATTGATTATAAATATTAAGTACTAGTATTTATAATCAACAGTGACGGTTTTGGTAGAATTTTATGGTGAGGTCACTTATGTATCAACCCCCTTTTTTATAGTGATAATTAGACTTCAGAATAAATGGAATTTAATAGAAAGCACGGCAGCACGCGTAAACAAATTTAAACGAACCAACACAACTACACAATCCACGAATCGAACAAGACTGAAATATATATAACGGTACCTACATGAGTACATACTCTGAGGCGACGTTCGAATGGTGCTTATCTGACGTCATCGGAAAATATTGCCTCTGGCTGAAATACCAGAGTTTGTTTACGTAATAACTATATCGTGCATTTCTTATCGGTTTAACACTGTTTTTGGAAATACACACGAAATGATATACAGTATAATAAATTATAATTCATAATTCATATTGTTAACTTAATCTTCGTAAAGAAGAATTTTTTCTCAAATAACATCATATATACATTAAAAATTACTATTGAAATATATGCTATAGGCGAACTAAGAAGTATACTTTTTGAGTATTATTTACTTCAAAATTTTAGGTGATGCGCTGCCTCACTTGCCTCTCCTCTCAAAACCGCCACTTATTACTGATTATTAATCTTTATTGGTAAAGCGATTAATACGATTAATGATTATCTGAGAATATAACAAACCAGCTGTCCATCCAGATAAATAATCACAAACGGAAAAAAACTTTTCATATGAAATATTTGAATGGAAACTCGGTATTTCCGATATACATTTTCGGTAAAATGGTTTTGAAAACTCCACGGTCAGCAGCAAAACTCCGGTAACCGGTATGGTTTTCATCATTGTTGGCAATAGACCGGAGTACAATCCTCGTGAACCATCTTTTATATTCATTACTTTTTGAATCACCTGAAATTCACTATCGTTTACTTCCATCTGCACACGAGATTTTATTGCATCTATTGGGTAGACGACCGACGACGTACATATCCCGGCTAAAGATCCCGCCACCATTGTAGATACAGCACTACAGTCTTCTTTTCGTTTACCGACTGGTTTTAGTTGTTCACGAGCCCGTTCATATGCACCAAAGAATACTGAACAACCTATAAACTCTCTGACTATTGTACATCCCAGTCCACGATACAGACCTTTAAAACCTTCAGATATCCAGATTTTTTTAAAAACTTGACCTGCTGATTCACATTTTACGTCATAATTTATTCCTTGCATACGTATTTTTACCAATTCAGTCGGGCAAAGTACCAAAGCCGAAGAAAACTGGAAATATAAATATATAAATTATGTGACTGAGAATATTGACTGAAAAATTGGAAAAATATAAAATATAATATAAACAAATTATTATACAAATATATTATATCAATAAATATATATATTGGGAAAGATAAACTAATATTGTGTCCGGGATGATTTTAGGTACTACACTAGTTGGGTCATAATATTTTTTGGTGAGTACAAGTAATACAACACTATACTATCATTTTCCTTCACATTTTAACAGACTTAGATCATAGACCAAATGTTTTGTTGAATATGTATTTTTGCAGTTTCTTTGCCATTAAAAATATAAACTATTAACATTTTACAAATTATTATATAACACAAAATATATAGGTACAATTCCAAGGCACAAAAAGGTGAACAGGCGGGTAGCGCTCTGCTGTATAGTACTATAGTAGTCGTCAAACATGTCGTTTTAATGGATGTGTTGCATATGAATTCAATGATAAATCATTGAATACGAAAAACAATTCTGAGCAGAGACGTTGTGTCATCATTTATAGTAAATTGTTGTATAAATAATCAAATTTAAAAGTTTAAAAAAATAATTAATAAAAATCAAAAATATCTCATGGCTATTGCAGCGTAACTTTCGGATGAATTTTTTTTTTTATAGAGCTAGAAAAACTTGTTGAAAATTGTCTTTAAAAATGTCTAATGTTAGCTATGAAAAGAAAAGTTTTATGAATTTCTAACTGTAAAAAATGTACAATATTTTGAAAAAACTAACATGCCTCAAAAAAGTTAAAATAGTTTGAAAATTTTACCATGTATGGAAAATGCGAATATATAAATATAAATAAATAAATCGGAGAATTTTTACAACCACAAGTGTTGATGGTAGACAGAAAAAAACACTCAAAAGTCGTTGTAAAATGTAAATACAATACATTCATTCGTTCCAATCAGAATCTAGTATTAAAAAAGGTAAGAAAGTGAATGTCATTATGCTGTACAGTAGGTTACAGTGGGTAACTGTAATGGATGGTGTTACACTTGAATTTAATTATATACTATCATTGTATACGAAAAACGATTCTGAGCGGAGATGGTTTATTGTCAGCTTGTTAATAGGATATTTTATATATTATATTATATTTATATTGGTATTAATTATTATGAATACGATAGCCGGTTAAGTTGAATCATTATTATTTAAATATTACCATATTTGTATACAATAATATACTTTAGAAGTTTCAAGTATCCACTAATAATTGTTTAAAAATATAACACAAAACTAAAATCATTCTTCTTCGTTTAAATATCTAATTTCGTCTAAATTTGAACATAAAATAACTATAAAAAAACTGTGTTTTATACATTTTAAATTTTTTGGTTACATAATAACTAAATAACCTACTTACGTGGAACATTTTTTTTAAATTTTCAGTCCTTTGCTTTAAAAGTTAAACCTTTTGGAAATTTTTAAATGTTAAATTTTATACATTTTGTCAAAACTCGAACTTTAAATTCTTATAAAAAAAATACTGTGCCTATGTATCATTAATATTTTTCAACTGTTGATGTAATAATAAATCAAGAGCCTTGTATTTAATTTAACGCTTTTTGACGTAACGAATAAAATTGTATTGACGTATAGTGTCATGCACTTATGCCCCTGGTATTTGGGACCCAAATTCGGATGCATCGGAAAAAATATAACATGCTATTGTTGTACGTCTTATTCAGTTAGGTTTATCTCGTCATAAACATTTATGTTTGTAATTTATACATGTTATACCTAATTATTATGAATTTCAAGTAACCACTTTTTCGAGTAAACCAACTTATTATTATTGTCGTATGGTATGGTATATTGGTATGTAAGAGTTGCAAATTGTCCATGTTGTCAAAATCAGTTAAGAGAGTTTAAAGTTGGATATAAAGTGTCGTTATCCATTTGACCGCGTTGTTGGTTGCTGAGTTCTTCCACTTCCACTCCCGTTAAAGACGTGGAGATGGCAATACTTTATTATATGGGAGGCCGTAGTCACAGTCAGGACGATCTCTCATTTTCCTTTTATGTAGCATCCCTCCGGCTCCGGAGCGTCCATGACCTGTACGTAGACGATTAAGTGTTACCCACTCGTCACGAGCCATTGTCCGGGGACCGGGGTATCCAGCAGGCTCTTAATTAGGCTGTAGTTATCTATGCTAGAATTCTGCCATTCTAGTTTCCTATCAACCATACCGTCATACTGGTTTTCAATGAGTTTGGTTGTAGCATGGTCGCATGGAACAATATAGAAGCGACACTCTGCTTGGTAGCCGATCTCTGGTGGTTTAGTGTTGATGTTGTAAATGATTACCTGGTGGTTTAGGAGTGTTGTTATGAACGATTTTTTTTATAATAAACGTTTTTTTGCTTGTTTACATTTAATCCTATAATCTATAATACGGCTTACAGCAATACAACAACTATCAACTTATAATTTTTTGCATTACACGTTCAAAATTATTTTTATTATTATTATTATTAGTAAAATATAATATAATTTACTATCATTTCTGTGTTATCATAATGGTATCAAGTATCAACTATCAATTATTGAAATGTATGATATAAGCCATCAACTGATTCTCATAAATAACAAAATGGCCATGTGTCCATTTTTTTAAATAGCACTAGAAATTTGTGAGAGTGTCATACCCCTGGTTGTAGTTAGATAAGCCGGTTTTCTAGATTCTAGTCTAAGTTCTGGTTTGAAGTGTCTTAATGTAATGGAAGGGATGTGTTTGATAAATATTTTGACCATTCTCTACATGCAGCTTTTTAGATACGTGCCGGTAGAATGTTGCAGAAGACTGAGAGCCATTCTGTCGGAGTTGATTTGAAAGTACCAGAGATAATGCGCGTATAATGATTAAGTTTAACATCGATATTGCTACTTTATTCATACTGAGGAGGCATACTCAGCGGCAGAGTAGACAGCGCTAAGGCTAACGTTCTCAGAGTCGGCATTACTGTCCCACCAGGATGAACCAACTAGTTTGTGAATTATGTGGTTTCTAGTTGTGAGTTTAGCAGCAGTATTCTTGATGAATTGTTCCATCTTGGTTTAGGAATGGCTTGAATTTGATATCCCACCTCTATGAATACTGGCTTGTGTTAGCTATTTGGAAATTTCTCTAAAACTCTTCTCTGAGTTGGTAGGGTAGCTCCATTACTATCCGTTGATATAAAGCACAGGTCTTCATTATAGGTACTCTCTGTCCCATCTTGCAGAGTGGAATGTACATTTTTGTTTCGCATCGTGGACTAACTTTACTCTATCAGCTTCGCTCCACTCTAATAGTTTATCTTCACTAGTGTTAGTAACTCTGTATCTCCAACTCGTATGGTGACTATTAAAGTCGGTCATATATATTGCTGGATAATTGATTTTATTAGGAGCAGAAGTGGGCCAGTCAGTTGTCAGAGGCTTGTAAATATTATTTCCATATTTATTATGGTAAGTTGCGACAGCGATAGAGTAACCTGGCATTGTTCATCTTTTCATGAGTTGGTCCTGGTCGTGTGTATGTGTTTCCTGAATATCAAGTATATCTATCTTTTCTTCATCAAAGATTCTACGTATAACATCGGCTTTAGCTTTACTAAGGCCCTCCACATTCAACTGCATAATTCGGGTTAGATCCTTCTTTAAGAAGCTCTTAGAAAGGTGGTTAGTTAAGCCAACTAACCTTTTATTTTAATATAATTTTACTTACTGACGCAATGCTTCCAGCTGCTGCGTTTTCAAGGTAATTCAAATCAATCGTATTGTCAATCCCGACTGATTTGGCCACTATTTTCTGGCACTGGCCGTAAGTTCCAAACATGACAGCTTCATCGGCACCATGTGAGGCGAGTGCTGGTATTATACCCGCGTACAGACCACGGAATCCTTGCTGACGGACAATATTAGATAAGCACGAGACCATGCCGCCGTACATATGGGGAAACAGTTGCATTCTTCCCTTGACCGTGTCCAGCGGTTGGCCCACGAGCGCTGACGCAAATCCTCCAGTAACACCAGCCAATACATCGACAAATAGTGTGGAATCCATCGAAAACTACTATAACTATGATATGTATTTTTTTTGCCACATTTGTACCGATAGTTTCTGTAAATGATGTATGTACATTGGTGATGATTATGACCTATATACAAATTATACAAGCATAAGGTATTGGTCTATTACCTACTGTGGAGTTTGAGATCGGAACAAAAAATTTACATATCAATAACATGGTTGCCAGATTCTGATATTTCCTAGCAACGACTATTGCGATTGGAAATTAATACTTTTAGAAATAGGTACATCCAACATTAATTACACATTTTTTTCAATGAAATTTGATCTGCGACACAGATTACCAAAGTTAATATTTAGATGTGACTCAATTACATACTATTTTTTGTATTTTACCTACTATACGTATTTATATTATGTACAAAATTGATTCTCAAGAATAATTAATAGATTATGAGTTCATTATTGGGTAAATACTAAATGGTAAAATGTTATAAATTTGAAAATAAAAATAAATGTTTTTCAAATTTTTTTAAAATTTGTTTACAACCAAAAAAAAAATGTCGTTTTTTTTTAAAAAAAAAACTGGTTTTGCATTGACATATATTTTTGTTTTTCTCGACGCTTTTGACAACTAATAGAAATGATCAATTTTTACCTTTCGGACGCACCTACTAAATTCACTTTTTCACTAGATGATTTAGTGATGTTGAAGATCGAAGCATATTTTGATACTTATCAGTTATCATATAGTGTACAGAAACACACAAAAAAACCACACATTACTGTAAAATCAATTCATTTTTTGCTACTGAGAATCTAAAATGTAAAATAAAATTTAATTTCCTTAATATAAAATGACCATTATTATATTTTTGGAATGACGTGCTTATGACTTATTGTTACGGCTTTATAGTTTTAAATTTTGATTCATGCTCTTAATAAGGTGTAAAATGATTTATAAGTATATAAAAGTACATGATTAAGTTACCATAAAAACTTTTTGTTTTCCAGCACTTCATGATAACAGCAAAAATTACATATAGGTAATTAATAATAATAGAATATTTTATACAATTCGCGAGTAGTGATTGCCGCAACTAATGTTGGAACCCACATTTACTTTCAACTAATGCCAAGAAGTGTGTTCACCAAGTTTTAACATTGATTTATAACACACATTAATCTACTTATATATTTATATTTAAATAATAAGTATTTACAATGTGAGCACGTCCGGACACTATCTCTGAAAGTAAAAAGCCAACTAGCAGCTTGTAAAGTCGCTCAAAGTAATTGACGATTAAGAACATTTTTAAGCTCCCCCCCATCACAAACAAAAGTCCTGGGTGCACCCCTGTATAGGCAACATATGTAGGAAGTGCAATAATAATATTTGAGATAAATTAATATTTTAAATCGTATCATATTAAATAATATCATATAGTACCTTAATATTCATACAAATCCATGATAGCAGTAATATGACATTTTATTATCCTGGAATTACAGCTATAGCATTATATCTTTTAATGGTATCAAAATATGTAAGTAGACTGCCATATTACTACAATAGCATTTTACATTGTCTTTAAACATTTGGGGCACTGAGTACTGACATAATATTATTTCATTAGAAAAAATAGCAATTAAGTTTACTAATGTAAAATTACATAGAGTAACTAATGTATAATTACTAAGTATATAATATATTATATAATTTCATTATTGGTATTGGTATAGCAGTAATAGAAAAGTGCGTTCTTAAAGGTCGTTATAGAAATTTACAAAAATGGTTATGATGGCTGTTAATGTTTTTAATCTATTTAATAGGTACCTACAATGATTCGGAATACTCGTAACTGACAAGTTGCTGGTCAATTTGAGTGCAATAAGTAGGTACTAGATAAATATTACATACATGATACATCTGTTATATTTAATAGATTTTATATGTAAAATGCATTTATTATTCTACTAAATAATATGTAAGCATTTAAAAAAAAATCGTCAGATTAACAATTTACAATAAAAAGGGTGGCTAAAAAATTTGTATTGCTACAGCCCAAAAGATACAACTTCTAAAATGGTATACACAATATTAGTATTTGAACATTAGCCCAACAGTATGCTTAAAAATCAAAAAAATAAAATGTTTGAATTAATAAATTATTAAATGATAAATGGGGTTAGCGTGCTTGGTAAATCACTCTGCTGTATTGCTGCAGTATAATAATATATTATTAAAAAAATACACAAGGATATTTCATAACAATATAATACATTATTAGGACCTATTTTTACCATATTTCAATATCGTTTATTGGTATAGGTACTGCAGTAGCTATAATGTATATTAAGATGTATAATAAATTATAAAGGGATAGGTACTGGATACAGTAAATGTAAATTATTGTAGAACATATTATTATAATATTATAAGAACTCAGTTATTTGTAAAGTATTTTTTATGTTTGTATTCTCCCCCTTGACGTTTGGGGTTTCATCTACATATTTTCAAAAATAATTTAACTTATTTTATAATATTACTTTTAGTGCTCTTTAATAAAATTTTTAATATATGTCTTTTTTTTCTTTACTAACTTATTTGTATATCTTTTATTTATTAATTCACAAAATTCATTGTGATGGGATACATTTCACTAAAAATATTAAAATGTTCATACAATAAAATGTAAGATAATATTGTAAATTGTAATTTATTGTATTTGTATACCTACTAACTACTTACCTATTTGTATAAGTTTATTAGTATAGACTATAATAGACATTAGACGCCGTATAGGTACGACTGTTCAAAATGAGTAATATTTTAAATTTCAATTAATAATAAAATAGGTATGTAAAATCAACAATATTATATTATTATTTTAATATTATGATAATATATATTATATTTTTTAATTGTCTAATTATTGCTCATGTTATTTATTCATGTTTATATGCCATTAAGTATGATGTATGAATGATTTGAGCTCTGTAAAGTGTAAATGTATAAGGTAGGTAAATTTCAATAATTGAAACTGTGACGCAGATTACCAAAGTTAATATTTAGAAGTGGCTCAATTACATACTTTTTTTTGTATTTTGTTGCAGATTACCTACTATACGATATACGTGTTTATATTATGTACAAAATTGATTAACAAGAATTGATAGAATAATTAATAGATTATTTAATTATTAACTATATATGAGTTCATTATTGGGTAAATACTAAATTGTGAAATGTTATAAATTGGAAAATAAAAATGAATGTTTTTCAACATTTTTAAAAATTTGTCATGTTATATTTAATTAGTGTAATATAATACCGTATACTTAAATAATGACAAACTTGCGAGTGAAGCTAGCCCCGTTTTTACATTTAACTCACTAAGGACCCTTTTTTTAATTTCCTGGTAGATAGGCCAAAAATAGCCTATCCGCCCATGGGCCTCCGCCCCGTAGTCTACACAATATACATTATGTTGATTGAGATTATGATAGACAAGTCACAACTCACAAGTAGAAGTGCCTATGTAGGTAGTAGGTACCTACTAAATGTCTAAATATACAACAAAATAGATAGATATATTATACGACCATTAGGTATACCAATAATTAATGAATTAATAATATTGTCTGCGTATTATTCTAATGACTATAATAATATAATAGTTCTGTTTTACTTAATTATGTATGTTCAGTGTCGGTATCGTTAGGTATAGGTATTCGATAACATAATTATTACCATGTTATTGCCTATTTGCCTCCAAATTAATTTTCGAGCATAGGTACCTCTCAGCTAACATATTGATAATATTTATTCGTCATTTTTGGTGGTTTTGGTATTTTATTTCGGTAAATGTTTGACAGTTGTTACAATTGTTACAATTATAGCAGAATAATAATATTGTCGTCATCACATCCTGAGGTACACCAATTAATGTATATTTGTGTTATCAAATTGTGTTATTCCCATAAATAATATTGTACCTATAACTAAAAATCGTTTCAAGCTACTTGGTAAATTAACATAATATAGGTAGGTATTGTTGATATTTATTCGTAATTTTTCATGATTCAGAATTTCGGTAAACGTTTGATTAGTTATGATTATACGAAAACCCTTGGGATAATCAATTTACTTTTGTTGAAATTATATATGTATAGGTACTTATTACTTACCATTTACCAACTATTGGACACGGGTGACACATATACTTCGTACTTGAATATTTGAATGCTTATAACAGCTGATGTCGATATTTTTGCGAATTACACGTAGTTTATGAGTGGTATTAAATAGCAATCCGTAAAACCGGGCTGTTGCGAGCAAAATTATACAATATGACATTTTGATGAAATTCAAAATTCTTGGAAATATATGAATATAATAATTATTACAATTATTATGATCTAAAAAAAATTGCGTTTGATGCTTATACGATATTTTTTAATTCTTTTTCATTATTATTAATATTCAAATTAAGTTTGTGTATATAGTACTATATACGCACAGATTTATGTATATATAGATTTTACAAAATACAAATAATCGTACCATAAATAAATAATAAATTGGTCTTATATAGTTATATAATATTATTTTTGCATAAAATTCTGATAAAATATTTAACAAATGTATCCACATACTGGCACATACTATATAATTATAATATTACATAATATTAAATAATAGGTATAGGTATGCCTAAATATTTAGTAATTTATAAAATATCATTAAACGAAAAATATCGCAAAATGTAATTTATAGAATTTCATTGAACAAAAAACTAAAGTAAAAGTTAAAAAGTCTTTAAATATTATATGGGTTCCGTAAAAATTAAAAATTTTTATTGCATGCATACGGACATTAGTATTGATTATACCTATTATATTCTGTATCCGGGCCATTACCTAAACGCAATAGTTATTTTTAAAACATTTAATAGGTATTAACACTATTCTAAATAACGAAAAACGCAAAACTTGTATAACGTTTTAATTCTAAATAACGATAAACCAAA